TATTTAAAAAAGAAGTGAGTGTTGCGCGTCGCGGAAGCTTTGTTACGCATAATTGGAAAGCTTTCCAATTACACGCATGTTCTCGCATGGTAATGCACACGTGGACGACGTGGTTCGTCCCCAGTGTCCGCGTAATCATGTGATCACGCCGCGAATCCGTTCTTTATTATCACCGTCTAATTGCAGAGCACCCGTCGTTCTTATAGAAACCGCCATTAACCGCGCATATTTTTTTCTTACGATTATCTTTCCGGATATAAATATCATTATGCTCGGGTAAAAATAACACGTGGATCATTATCAGCATCGTCGCTCCATTCAGGTCTTGTACAATGAAACCTTGAAGCTGAGATTTCCGAAAACGTTTCTCTAGAGGGATTTCCAACACCGCTTAATGACTTCTTCCTCACTCATCGGTCAGATTTTGTGTACGTTACCGCGATTGTATTTAGTTTTCTTGTTTCTTTCTCTCCTCCTCCAGCTTCCAGTTCTCAACAAGTTTCTATATACTTCCCACAATTTTGAGTAAAATAAATAAAATAATTTTCTTATCGAACGATAAAAAGTTATACAAATTATACGCATTTCGTGTCTTGAGAAGGGAAGTAGTGATTCTCAGTTGAAAAAAAAAATATCACACGGAGGAAATGTTACAGTAAAAATTACTATGAAACTTTATAGCCGAGAAATATATCAGTATTCCTATACTGATTTGTTATCCTTCCACACGTATCATTTTGATGAAAGAAAGATATCGACAGCCTCGACAGGAAACAGGATATTTTTTAACAGTGGACTTCTTGGAATAAAATATATATAAGTAACACATGCGCGGACGAGAGCCGTCACTGGATGTCGGATGCAATGATTTAAGTCTCAGCGGAAGAATAAAATTGCTCGACGAATTGTAACGCGCCGAACAAGTTTATTCTTTCACTGAGATTTAAATTATCACGGCAACTTTCGTCGGCCTTTTATTCGTCTGCGCTATTCATATTCTTTTCAGAAACTGAAATCTACTGTTGAGGAATTTGCCGTTTTTCCGCGTTATCAAGTGATAGTCTGTTTACCCGCATTGTTAGAAAAAGTAATTAAGAATTTTTCATATTCGTTTTCGGAGAAAAATAGACTACGATGTTTCTTCCGTGCGTACAGACAATTCTTGCGACTATCTCGTTCGTTTTCTTGCCTGCCTTCGTCAGCGACGCGCATGGAAGAATCACGCTCGTAAAGGATCAACGCGCCGAAAATCAACGACTGTTTACGATTGCTATCGGGGATGAAGCGATATTTCCCAAATCCCGGGTAATATGATGATTTCGATGATCGTACGAGAAATATCACATACGCGACTAAAGATGGGCAATTTTCATCGATTAATCGAAAGAACCGATAGTTTGTTTTCAATTAATCGATGTTTTCCAATGATTTTATTTTTACTCAATTAATCGATGTTTGATGATTTTTTCTCAACATCCACAACCGATTTTTATTTTTTTTTAAATAGAGGATTTCTGTAATATCGTCTTTCAGATATGATGAACGAAATTCATAAACGTTAAGTCCGGAACTACGTACAATAGGTATAGTGAGCTTTAAATCTTAAGAAATTGGCCAATCACAGTCAATTATTCTTGTAAAAGTAGGTTGGGATTGGTTAATTTCTTAAGGTTTAAAGTTTACTACATCTATTATTACAGTCATGGATAATAGAGTTGTCCGATTCTTACTGATAAGTTCCGGAACGTTATCAAATGGCCCAATGAGAGCACTTACCTTCCCGAATTTAGTTCTCTTATCACGTGGAAGATACATCAAATGAGATGCCGAGTTAAAAGCCTCACATACTGACGCGATTAGCGACGAATAAGCAATATCCAATGAGAATTATGTTTTAAAGAAGAAATGAAAGCTTTTTCTTCTAAAAACAGATATTAGTTTCTCATTGGATATCGCTCATAGTACGTCGCTAGCCCGCGTCCAGTGTGTAAGATCCTTTAGGAGGATTTCTAGTAATACTGAGAATACTGCAGGCGTCATTCCATCCTTGTTTAACATTCAGTGAAAAATAAGGATTGAATAACGCCGGCTACATCTGTTGCGAATTTAAGAACGTATCCAACATGTAAGCAAAGGATAACATCCGAGTGATGTTTCCAAACATATCTCTAATAGTGTTTAATCTGGTGCTAACCAATTTAAATGTTTACTTTGCAAATTTAATCGATTAATCGATAAATCGATTTTTTTCAGAAAATAATCAACGTCATTTCAATTTTTTTTCATTAATCGATATTTTAAACATCGATGTATCTTCGAATGTCGTCTATCTCTATACGCGACTCGCTGGGTTTCGCGAGAAAAAACCGTTAGCGCGCTCTTCTCTCATGTTTATCAACTTTTTTACATTCGTGTTGTCGACGACAGTCTTCATCTCTCTCTCGCTCTTTTTCTCTTCCTTTCTCTCTTCTACTCTCGCACTTTTCCAGCGGTATTCCGTTAATCGTGCTAACGACGTCAATGGGAGTTTCATTTGTCAAAAGCCATCCTCGTACTTTCGTCCTCGTGTGCAAGAAAAAATTGATCTCGCGTAGAATGTAAAATTAATAAAGAAAAAGTGCCATCAAGCCGGAGATTATCGCGACGGATGTCTCAGTGGACGACTTGAGACGAGCCGACAAACGCGTCGTTGTCATCGCGCCACGGAACGCCGCCTCCGTTGATCTTGTTCTCGAAAGTGATGAACTTGACACAGCAAGGTGAAAATAGCACACACGTGCGCGTGATTTCGCAGTTGAGGGGATCAGTGCACCTAGCGAAGCCTCGCACGCGACATTTATACAGTCTCTATCGATCTAATTTATTGATTTATTGTGCTCGCTCTATCTACCTATCTATCTATGTCGTTCTCTCTCGTTCACTTCCTCCCTCCCTTCCTTTTTCTCTCATTGGTGTATAAGATCACTCGTAAGATTTATCAAATCAATCCCATTGCGATTATACAGTTTTGGCCTATATGTGTATGCGTGTGTTTATTCGTGCGCATGTGTGTACGTGTGTGTGTATATAATACAAATTTCATCGTACAAAGCTTACAAATTACACTTAGATCGACATTATGCGATACCGTATTGTTGTTGCTACTGTTACGTGTCACGTCTCCTTCTCTCTCTCTCTCTCTCTCTCTCTCTCTCTCTCTCTCTCTCTCTCTCTCTCTTTTCCCACCTCTTCGTCTGTCTATCTACATCTGTTGTGCTTGTCCTCAGTACTCCCACCGTCGTGTCTCCTATTTACGCAAAATAGTGCGCGACGGAACGACATCTTCGCTCGTTATCTCTCCCGCGCTTTCGAGTGTACAAAGCCGTGGCTACACTACGTCAGCTCGGAAGCTAAGCGGAAGGTAAAGTAAAAATACATTACTAATGGTAATTCGCTACACAAACGGAATTACACAAGAAAAATCCTCGCAATATTTCTCTACAGGGTTATCTCCGTCAGTATATCATCATCGTCATCACCATCAGCATCCGTCGAGAGATTGCTACGACATATAAAACTTCCTCTCTGTCGCTCACGTGTTTCTGGATATCCCTGCGCGCGGAGAATCGTCGCTTCATTCGATAAAATATCTCGAGCGTGTAAAACTGTACAACTTGGTGTATATATTGTATGTATGTGTGTGTGTGTGTATTCGTTAGTGCCTACCACTAAACACACCGTGTGTATAAAACACTCGTACGACTCTCTCGTTCTCTTTCTTCTGCTTTCTCGCGACTATTGTAGCAGCCTCTCCAACGCTTAAACTCAGGGTAACCGTACCGTCTCGCCATCTCTTTGCCCCCATCGTTCTTTAACACAATTAAATCATTGCGCATACATACATGCACAGAGAGGGGGAGGGGGAGGGGGAGGGGGAGGGGGAGGGAGGGAGAGAGAGAGAGAGAGAGAGAGAGAGAGAGAGAGAGAGAGAGAGAGAGAGAGAGAGAGAGAGAGAGAGAGAGAGAGAGAGAGAGAGAGAGAGAGAGAGAGAGAGAGAGAGCAATCAGAGCGCGCGCTCTCGCGACCATCGCATGGAGGAACGCGTGAGGACTGCTGCTGCGTTGCACAACAGCACGCAACGCGCTGCGACCGTTGCGATCGACTCATCCGGAGAGAAGCCTATCTTCTTCGTGTACACGCGGACTCATCGTCGACGACGTCCCGCATGTCGATTACTCATTCACCGGCGACGGAATTCTTATCGGCGCGAAAATTGCACGACTCTCGAGCGTCATCGTCGTCGTCACGCTCACACCCATACGTACGCACGGCGCAATTCGTCCTTCGACCGCCGTCGCGTCCGAGAAAGAAGAAAAGACACAAACCGGCACGTCGACGTGACAATCGTTGGTCCTCGCGAGAAAAAGCAGGCGAAAGTGGTCTATCTGTCAGTCGAATTCGACTGCCAGCCAGCCAGCCGGTCAACCGGGCCCGACGACCGTCACGTGTCGCATTCGCCGGGACTGAGCGGATCTCTCTTTCTCTTTCGCTCCGCTCGTTCTCACTGTTGCGCTCTCGACCCGCTCGCGAACTCCGTAAGACTGCCTCAGGAAAGGCACGGACGCGCGTGAGCACGTATATGCGTGCGTGCGCGACGGTTGTCTCTCAAGTTGAGCAGAAAGCCGACCGATGAAGCGTCGAATTTGGTTTCACGCCGTTAACGAGTAACGTTAAACGACTAACGCGAGTGAACGCGCGCGCGCGACGCACACACACACGCACGCACACTCGCAGTGTCGCGGTCGACACCCTTCCTTCCGTTCTCTCTTTCTTTCGTTCTTTTTCTCTCCCCCTCTCTCGCATTCGCAGGAGAGAGAGAGAAAGAGAGAGCAGCATTGGTCCTTTTCGCGGCCATGAAGAAGTCAGCTCTCGTTCGTCTGCTCTTCCTTAAGCTTATCGGTAATATATTACAATAATAATTACATACATAATACTATTCGCGTATAATAAAATATCTGTTTAACGATCGCCGCCGTCGCACGCGCTCGCTGGCACGCGGACGGCGATATCTCTCTTCGTAGAAAAAGAGTCGATCCTGAAGAAGAGCTCCCGTCGTCGTCGGTCGACACACGTCGCATGCTCCTTCGTCACGAAAGCCGAGACGAGGCAGTCAGCCTTGGCGAGGTTCGCGCGGTGTGCGCGCGTCAAGGTCGCTCGAGGCAGTCCTTGGCGAAGCTGAAGAACCCCGGTGAGGCTGGACGCGCGCGAGGTGAATACACGTCTCGCGCGCACGATTGTACACAGCACACGCATACACACACACGCGCGTCTCCTGCGTCACCTGGCGCGCTTCCTCCTCGAGTACATGTAGTTTACATAGTTCGTTCCGCAGGGCCGGCGGCGGCGAGACTTTTGATTAAGTATTAGAGGACGCTGCAACAGCAATAGGTCTTCTTCTCCTTCTCGGGGCTGAAGTTCATCTCGCGCACAATCTCCGCGAACATCTCGTTGACGTTGGTGCGATTCTTGGCGGAAGCCTCGACGAACGGGCAGCCCCACAGCTGGGCGAGAGCGTTGCCCTCGGCGGTATCGACCTCGCGCTGGTGCTCAAGGTCGAGCTTGTTCGCCACTAGCAGCACCGGAACCCGCTCAGTGCCCTTGACGCGCGTGATCAGCTCCTTCATTGCCTTGATGTCCTGGAAGGTCTGGTGGTTCGTCAGGCTGTACACCACGACGAAGCCTTGGCCGTTCTTGATGTAAAGGTCGCGCATGCTAGCGAACTGCTCAGTGCCGGCGGTGTCGAGGATTTCGAGCACGCACGGCGAGTTATCCACCTCGATCTCCTTGCGATAGAAGTCCTCGATGGTGGGATCGTACTTCTCCATGAAGCACCCGGAGACAAATTGCACGGTGAGTGCGCTCTTACCCACCCCGCCCGAGCCGAGGACGACTACCTTGAACTCGCGCATCTCCGTCGCGACGTCGTGGCCGTCGTCGTCGTCGTCGTCGTCGTTGTTGTTGTTGTTGTCGTCGTCGTCGTCGTCGTCGTCGTCGTCCTCCTCCTCCTCCTCCTCCTCCTTCTCGTCCCCGTGATCGCCGTGGTAGTCGTTGCCGACTCCGCCACGCCGCCTGCGCCGCGACGTGTCCAGGACACCAGGGTGCGGAGAGAGAAAGAGAGAGAGAGAGTGAGTAAGTGAGGGGGGAGAGAGAGAGAGCACACGCACGCACTTACACGCACGGGACACACAGCCACGCACAGGACGCACAATCGCGGAGGCAGACGGCGGGTCGTTGGACCACACGCGATTATCGCGTTCTCTTGCTGACACTCGTCGCTATAAGCACTAACAGCAGCCTCAGCAGTTCGTCTTCCGTCCTCCTCCTCGCCGTCGCCGACGTCGTCGTCGTCGTCGTTGTCGTCGTCGTCGTCGTCGACGTCGTCCTCCTCCTCCTCCTCGCCGTCGTCAACCTCGTCCACCTTTTCCTTCTCTTCGTGCTTGTTGTCGTTGCGATCGGCGAGAGACGTCGCAGCACCGCTCGTTCCCCGAAGGCCTCGCCTTCCGCTTCGTCTTCGTGTTGTCGCGACGACACGAATCGCCCGGCCCGTATCGTGCTGGCGGCGGCGAACAAAGGCATCGGACGCTGACAGGGAGGCGAGATTTACCTGGTCGGTCTCACCGTTAGCCAGATAGAAGGACTGGCCGATATCAGGCGGAAAGAACCGTCGCACTGCGTGTTGCTGGCTGCCGCCCTGAGCGCTCGATGACGATGACTACGGCGATACGACAGCGGTGCTGCTGACTACGCCAGGAGTACATGACGAAACACGACGCACGCACTCAGCGCTGCGAAAATGCCAGCACACACATATACACTACACGACGGCGACCCGAGCTCGAGAACACTACGTCTCTCTCTCTCTCTCTCTCTCTATCTATCTATATCTCTCTCTCTCTCTCTCTCTCTCTCTCTCGTCTTGTCTCTTCGTCCCCTGTCGTGCCTGCCTGACTGTGCTTGTACCTCTCTATCTCCTCTTCTTCCTGCCTAGCCGCTGCCCCTCACTGCTTCTCGTCATGATCTGACGTGCGCAACGACGCCATCTTATCGTAACTCCGCTTCGCTCTACTCAGCTCAGCTCCGCTCAGCTCGGCTCGGCTTCTGTCTCTTTTTTCTCCCTCTTTCTCTCTTGTTCGTCTGCTTCGTCGTAAACGTCGCGATCGAGACGAGACCATCAACTATGCGTGACTGTGCGCTGCTGACTGACACGCTGCGCGTGCGCCGTTCGCGACGGTCGCGCATAGCACCCTCTCTAGGCTCGATTTTGGAAACGAGCGCGCTTCTCTCCAGATTATCGCACTTTTCCGAGTGGAGTGAGTGTATCTCGGCTCGCACAAGTGTGAGAGAGAGAGAGAAAAGTGACGAGTTGTGGGGAAAGTGCAAACGGTGCGGCTGAGAGGAGCACGTTCGGTAAGTTTCGGTTTTAAGGCGCGTTTGCAACGCCACCGTTGCTAATCACGGATTCGCTCACGCCAAGGCCGCGTTGCGAAACGGATTGAAATACGAAGGAAATTCTGTGACAGAGTTTCATGAACACGGGCAAACGCAAGCTAGTGCGAAAATGGACATCGATTCATCGATTATTTAGTTCATCATTAAACAAACAAATTAACGACAAATTTAGAAATCTTTAAAAAATCTTTAACAGATTATTTTTTTACAGTCTAAGAGTTATCGACTACAAGTCGAAAATTGTTTTTTGTCGATTATTTAATTTATTATTAAACAAAAGAGTTAACGAACAGGTTAAGGAATTTGCAATAAATTAATATTTAAATAGATTAATAAATTATTCTTTTTGCAGTCCAAGGCTCATATTCTGAACTCTCTTTAGCGCCGTGGTCTACAATGGCCGTAAGCAGTAAGAAGTAAGCGTGAACAGTCAAGCGTAGTCTACAATGACAGTAAGCAATAAGAAGTAAGCGTAAGGAATAAATCAATCACAGTCGATTATGACAAAAATAATCAACTGTAGTTGGTCCATTTCTTACTGTTCACGCTTACTTTTTACTGCTTGCGGCCATTGTAGACCACATTTAAGAAATGGACCAACTACAGTTGATTATTTTTGTCATAATTGACTATGATTGGTTTCTTCCCGCTTACGCTTACTTCTTACTGCTTACTGTCATTGTAGACCACGTTTTATATCACTAAAATATGGCTAAAATGTGACTTACAGCCAATCAAAAGGCTTATAATCAGCTTTTACAGTCAGTTTTAACGATAAAAGAGAGTTCAGAATATGAGTCCAAATGTAATAAACAAATAAAAAATAAATAAAATCAGTTACATCCGAAAATCTCGGCGTGATAGTCTCGTTTTTTTTTATTATTTCTCGAGTGTGATTGATGAATTTGCCTGTCAACTCAAGCTTCGCCCTTTTCCACATGCTTAAATCGCAGTCCCATCACAGTCAAGAATTTTGACATGACAGACTCACGTTTTCTACAATTCTCAAATGTGATTGACCAATTTCCCCACTGCTCGCTTCATCGTCTTTTTTTATTCGTATGCCGTTCAAACGAAGCGATCGTTCATAGTTCGAGAATTTTGATGCAACGATGGACTCGTATTCTCGATAATTCTCAAATGCGATCACTGACGATACATTCGCTCTTCAAGTTTTATCACTAACATTGGCTGCGTTCAGCAGAACAAAGTGATCAGTGAGCGCTTAGTGATTATTGTCTATGACTGGAGCATTCTTTTAGATTCTTCATAGACCTAGAAGTATTTACCAATCAGGAGTGAGAATCACTAAGTGCTCACTGATCATTTTGTTCTTCTGAACGCAGCCAGTGGCTGCGTTCAGAAAACACAACGGTTACACAACAGTTGAGTAATTCATCAACGTTATTGGTTTGAATGTAAGGATCTAACAGTAAGGACCAATAGTTACTAAGCGCTCAGTGAGCGCTTTGTTTTCTGAATGCAACCAATGACTGCGTTCAGCAGAACAAAGTGATATACACTCATAGACCCAGAAGTATTTACCAATCAGGAGCGAGAATCACTAAGCGCTCACTGATCATTGGCTGCATTCAGCAGACTCAACAGTTGGACAACATTACTAGATTTTCTACTGAATCTCGCTCCTGATTGGTAGATACTTCTGGGTCTATAAAGAATCTAAAAGAATGTTCCAATCACAGACAATAATCACTAAGCGCTCTCTGATCACTTTGTTCTACTGAACGCGGCCATTTTGTTCTGCTGAACACAGCCAATGTCCTCGCTATATGCCATTGTCCGCTCGCTCCTCGAGATTAGAGAGCCTCATAGGAAGAGAGTGGCAAACTGATCACGTGACCAGGTCTCTGCTGATTCGATGGAGGCACAAAGTCTTCTTGACCAATTAGAATATAGCAAGGCGACAAGTTGGTTTTACAGTGAGTTTTAAAAGCAGTTTAAGCATTTTATACTATGCACACTATACTAAGACATAAAATTATGTAAATAATATATATTACGATTCTTATTCTATGTAAATCGAAGCGACAAATATTCTTTCACAATTAATACTTATTACTTACGGATATCTGATTCTTATTGCTGTTATTAATTCGTAGGCGAATATCTTGTGCGACTCGTCGTAATCTCCTCTAATGATTGACAGATATAAGTCAGATTGCTTTAAAAACTCACTGTAAAACCAACCTGTCGTCTTGCTATATCGATATTCTAATTGGTCAAGAAGACTTTGTGCCTCCATCGAATCAACAGAGATCTGGTCACGTGATCAGTTTGCCACTCTCTTCCTATGAGGCTCTCTACTCAAGATTATTTGCGACAATGATCGAGTGCAGAAGGTGCAAACAAACGGAACTCATTTCGCGACTCCCTGAGCTAATCATCGGCTAAAGCCAATCGCGTGGTCCGCGTGCGTACGTCGCGTTGCTCGTTGGACTTTCGACGAGTCGAGCCGTGGCGAAGTTCCAAATCGACGAGTGTACAGCAGACGAATCTCCCTTTTTCCACCGGATGCGAGTGTCACTCTCTCTTATCTGGCGAACTGACAGTGCGCTATCCGCGACCTTGAGACCGTCTAGCGCTGCGGGGGGAGACAGTTCAGTCGGGTGAGTTGCACATCTCGCCGTCGCGTTCTCGCGTTCGTGGTCTCTCTCGAGATTCACGATAAGCCGTTCGTTTCACCTACACTCTCTACACCCAGGCGTTTCCCCTATCTCTCTCGCGCCCTCCGACTTAGCTAGCTAGCTAGCTGTCTCTCTCTCTCTCTCTCTCTCTCTCTCTCTCTCTCTCTCGCGCTCCCTCAGGCGAATCTAAATATACACGGTGTCCCGTTTCAAGTGCAGAGAATTCGAGCAAAATGAGCAGGCGTATGATGAATGCGACGTAGCCTGACGCATACACATGTAGTACGCAAGCGCGCGATTATGCGACGTTGTGGGTTACCTGCGTACTTGGCTCTGGTCGTTTCGAATCCCAGAGAATTGTTGATCGCAGGTAGGCGGACGGATGAGCGCAAGAACGAACGACCATCTTGTTCCCTCTCGCGTGTGACGTCACGAGCCCTTTGACGTCAGAGAGATATTGTGCTCGCCATAATAGCTCGAAAACTGAATTGAGTCGAGCGAGCTGCGATGAATGAGAATTTTACATCGCGATCGCTCGCTTGGGCGGACAATGGACGAATGGATGAGAGGGACAGGTAAATGCGCGTTCGTCGTGGTACGGTGGAAATCGGATAGAACACAAATATTGGTTCGTGCAATATGTAATTTTGGGTTTTGCCAGGGTTGGGAAGTAACTTGTTACATGTAACGAAGTTATAGCTAGTTTTTTTTTTTTTAGTAACTATAACTTATCTGTGTTCCGTTTTTTCGATGTATAACTGTAACTTAACTTAGTTACATTTGTTTGATAACTAGTAATTAATTTAATAGTTACTTTATAAGATAAACATACCGAATTATGCCACTGGCTTGAATTACGCCACCTTAGCTTGTTTTATGCGTGTAATAAAACACAGCTGAGTAAAAGTGTCTAAAAATTGCCGGAAAGAAGTCGTGATAGTGTGTCAAGTGGCTCCGCTAAAGTAAATATATGAAAATATAATATGTGATTTTCCGTGAAAATCAATTTCAAAAATCTATATCAAAGATCTGTCACTTTTGACTGAATTATATTTTTGACTGAATTTGCTTATAAATGATTACGTAATCTATGAAGTGATATTATATCTTATAATATGATAAAAAGAGATATTTTTGGATAGTAATATAAAGTGTTTTAATTTCTTGTGATTAAAATATAATAAAAGATGATAAAAAAGTATAATATTATAAAGTTATATGGTTTTTATATAATATAATACAGAATGGCGTCATTTGGTATATAATCGGTGGCGTAAATTGAGCTACAATTTCAATGGGCGTAATTCGGGACATTTGCAGTTCGCACTTAATTCTCTTATATAGATAAATAATCTTGTTTATTTCTAATTTGTGTATGTGTTTTCGATAATTTACAATAATAACTTTTAATAAGATTCATAGTCTTACCTAACACTACTCTACTTTTTTAAAAACAAACTCCCAAAAATTAGTCGTTGCTTAACGTGGCGTAATGTTTACCTTATATTTCAAATTTAAGTTTTTGCCAAATTTAAGTTGGCAGATTAGCACGATAATGTGACATGCGATGCTTGATATCCAATAAGCATATAGGTATTCCGGCTGCATTTAAAAAACGCGTTATTGCATCATCTATCTTTATCGTTAGATATTAGACGTAAAACAAGGATAAAATAGCACTGATAGTCTCCTCTTCGAACGCAACCTGTATTTCTTTCAAAAAAATTATACGTCTATTGGACATTTCTGTCGTGCATCGCCAGTCCTTATTATTTGTTAACATAACCTGTGTTCAGCGTGAAGTGCGCTGCGTGGTTTCAATTATATAAAAAGTTCAAGTAATCGATAAAACATCTCAATCTTCAGAGAAAGATTGTAAAATGCCATGGCCAAGTTATGCGGAAATATTCGAGTTACAGCAAAAACTTGAAAACGAGAATAACTGGATATTTCCCTGGCCAGTTATTATTAATAGTTTTACAGAATAAATATGACTTGCTTATTTAAATTAATGAATCTAATTTGTAAAAATTATATACAGCATGAGGAATATAATAATCAACAAACTACTTTTACTTATATAAAGTTGAAGGAATTTACACAATTACGTAATTTAAAATAATAGCATTATTATTATAAAAAAGTAACTGAAATGTAATGACTCGTTACTTTCTAAATAATCCAGCAAACACAGTATTACATGTAACGTGCATGTTAGTTGTAATTTCCTACTCAACAATATAACTGTTATATTGTTGAGTAGGAAATTACAACTAACATGCACGTTACATGTAATATTGTGTTTGCTGGGAACTATGCTATATGTAACATGTTATTTTTGAAATATTTTTGAAGAAATCAGTAATTTGTAACTATAACTAATTACTTTTTGAGTGAAAAAAACTATAACTGTAACTAGATACTTTTACAAAGTAAGTTTCCCAACCCTAGGTTTTTCATGCAAAGACATTTTTAAGATATTTTTCAGACATTTAAACTTCACGTGAAATCCAATATCAGAAATTTTAGAAACTGAGAAATAAATATCTTGTTTTAGAATATCTCTAAGACATGTTTTAGACGTTATGTTGTCTGAAAGTATTATATTTCCATGTTTTAATTTCATGAAACGTACAATAGGTCTCTGTTCTTAGATGAACAGGGTTGTGCTTTTTATCTTTAGAATGAAACGCATAACATGCGTCGAATGCGACATGGTGTCGAAGCAGAAAAGAACACACATATGTACGCGCACACACACACACACAAAGATTCCTTGTCCAGTAGACAAACGAAACAAGCTTAATATTTATGTCATCTTGATTTGTGCTCTTGCGCCATACATCGCATTGTTTCATGAAGCTGCAATATAAAAATATGACGATTTAATAAGAATATAATAATTTAATAAAAAGAATATAATAATTTAATAAAAAGATTGTTTAATAAAATTATAATCGCTTAACAAATACATAATCGTTTCATTATACTTGAGAAAGATTCCGGGTGCAATTAATCCTTTGTGTAACAGTGATAAGTATATTTACCACCCTTTTTTCTTTCATTTTCACGATGTACTGTCTACAGTTTAATAAAAATAAATATGATCTCATTTTTTTAATATACTTTTATTATATTTTTTCTGATATATTTTTCTTATACATCTTTTCTGATATATTATATTAATACTTACTTTACATGTTTCTCATGATTTTTATATCCGATTATTTATTTCTAATTATTTATAATTATAAGTAAATTATTATAAGTAAATAAGGCTGAGGAGCGATTTAACAAAATTTAATTTCTTGGAAAGTATTTAAGATTAGAGACTGAAAATTTTACCGAATATTTTTATATAAAAAATGTAATATATATTTTATCCAGAATTTTTCGCACACTAGATTTCTTTTTTATAAACAAATTACTGGAATAAATTTTGCAAATCCGACATGAAATTCGTAATTAACGATCTGAAAAATCTTTATATCATGTATCTGATTTATATTTATTCAAATTTGTACTAATTTACTCCTATACAGCAGTCATGTTGGATTTGTCATTTCGAATTTTTGAAATCTGATTTCAGATTTGTAATCAGTGACCCGAAAAACATAGAAATACAAGATTGCTACGTACAGAAATCTATCAGGTAGAAAATATGTGCCACACAAAGGGTTAACGACGTTCCAGAGTTTTGTGGTAGGCCAAGTGAAGCTCACGCCGTTAATTAGGTTTGTTCTTTTGAGCCGAGCCAGTGCTAGCCCTCAGCAGCGGGCTGCGCGCTTCTTTCAGCCAAACGACAAAAAGTGCAGCCTACAGTTCAACGGAAAAGAACAGACCTGTTAATCGTTCGCGGAATGCGTTACCAAACTGTCTCCGTTGGAAACGCCGAAAGAGCGAGAGAGCTCTTTCGCTTCGCAGGATATACATGCGTCGGGCCGAGAAACGGCGAGTCACTGATTACAAATCTGAAATCAGATTTCAAAAATTCAAAATGACAAATCCAACATGGCTGCTGCATAGGAGTAAATTAGTACAAATCTGAAAAAATAATTCAGATACATGATATAAAGATTTTTCAGATCGTTAATTACGAATTTCATGTTGCATTTGCAAAATTTATTTCAGTAATTTGTTTAAAAAACTAACGACAAAAAATGTACGTAACATAAGCTTTAACATGTAAAATTTATAAAACTTATCTTCTTAAACAAAAAAGTAAAAAAGGCGCCAAGTACAAGCGCAATACATATTGTGTTATTTTTAGAAATTTCAAATTCAAATTATTTTTTTTTAAGGTATATATGTATACATAACATAAGTTTTTACAAGTAAAGCTTACATAAAACTTACGTTTTTAAGCAAAAAGGTAAAAAAAGGTGCCACGTACAAGCGCAACACGTATTGCGTTATTTTTAAAAATTTAAATCCAAATTATTTTTTTTAAGGTATATATGTGTACATAACATAAGTTTTTATAAGTAAAACTTATAACTATAATTAAACTCTACAACACTATTCTACTGTACAAAATAAGTGATATATTAAAATAGTAGCACCAACTGAGGAACCTAACATATATATATATATGATTATTGTATATTTAATATTTTTAGAAATCTCAAATTCAAATTATTTCCTTTTCTTAAGATATATATTATGTACATAACATAAGTTTTTACAAATAAAACTTATCAAATTATTTTTCTTTTGAGATATACATATACATAATATAAGTTTTAACAAGTAAAAATTATACCGTGTTATAAAAATTTAACACGTTTATTAATAGTGTCCAATATTAAAAAAAATATCTGTTTACAGGTTATTATTATTCAAGAAAAACCTAATTAAAAAAATGTCTATAACAGAAATTTTTACAAGTAAAATTTATCATTATTTATTAGAATACTGAATTATATGGTTATTTTACTTGTTATTATAACAAATTAATTATTATAACAATGCAATAAAAAATATTTAATATAAAATCTTGACGCGGTTGCACTAAAAACTATATCGAAGATGTATGTACATGAAAGTCAAATTAGATATCATAGATACTTCGTCAATTATAATAAGAATAACATCTTTGAATGAAAAAATATCAAAATATGTAGAATATATACACATTCGATATGTATATTCTATAGTGAAGGTTTATAATTTATTATACCCAAAAACGAACGACATATATATAAACTTAAATAAAACATTACACCGTATATGTATAAAGAGAATTTACAAGTACATTTTATTATAATAAAAATGCTGTCATGTATGTATTAAACAAGTTTTAGTTCGATATAGTTTTTGGTGCAGTCGCGCCAAGATTTTTTGTATTAAATATTTTTTATTGCATTGTTATAATAATTAATTTGTTATAATAACAAGTAAAATAATCATATAATTCAGTATCAATAATGATAAATTTTACTTGTAAAAATTTATGTTATGGACATCCTTTGTAGTTTTTCTTTGTAGGATTTTCTTGAATAATAATAACCTTTAAACAGATATTTTTTTTAAATAGTGGATACTATTAATAAACGTGTTAAATTTTTATAACACGATATAACTTTTACTTGTAAAAACTTATATTATGTATATGTATATCTCAAAAGAAAAATAATTTGATAAGTTCTATTTGTATAAACTTATGTTATGTACATAATATATATCTTAAAAAAAGGAAATAATATGAATTTGAGATTTCTAAAAATATTAAGTATACAATAATCATATATATATATATTAGGTGCGCAACTAAGTTCTCGCTGTTTTTTTGATGAAAATGCAACTTTATTGTGAAAAAATGGTTACAAATGAATCATTCAAAATATTGCCCATCGCTAGCGACAACTTTTTCCCATCTTTCTGGCAGAGCTCGAATACCGTCACGGTAGAAGTGTTCGCCTTTTGAGGCTATCCACGAATCAAGCCATTTTGAGATGTCTTCATATGAGCGGAACTGCTGATTAGCCAGACCATGTGACATCGAACGGAACAAGTAATAATCGGACGGCGCAATATCTGGGGAATATGGCGGGTGGGGTAGGACTTCCCATTTGAGCGTTTCTAAGTAGGTTTTAACGGGTTTGGCAACGTGAGGCCGAGCGTTGTCATGCTGTAGAATCACTTTTTCGTGCCTCTGCTCGTATTGTGGCCGCTTTTCGCGCAGTGCTCGGCTCAATCAATTGAGTTCGATACTGTTCCCCAGTAATGGTTTCGTTCGGTTTCAACAGCTCATAATAAATAACACCGCCCTGGTCCCACTAAATACACAGCAAAACCTTCGCAGCGTGAATATTCGGCCGAGCCGACGACGTAGAAGCATGACCGGGCAGTCCCCATGATTTTGTTCTCTTTGGGTTGCTGTAATGAATCCATTTTTCATCACCCGTAACGATGCGATGAAGAAAACCCTTCCTTTTTTGCCGCTGGAGCAGTTGTTCACAGGCGAAAAAACGACGCTCAACGTCTCTTGGCTTCAAATCATAAGGAACCCAAGTTCCTTGTTTTTGAATCATTCCCAACGCATGCAATCGCTTGGAAATGGCTTGGCGGGTAACTCCTAATGCTGAAGCAAACTCTTTTTGCGTTTGGCACGGATCCTCATCGAGCAATGCCTCCAATTCAGCGTCTTCGAAGGTTTTTGGCCTTCCTTCACGCGAACGGTCGTCAACATCGAAATCACCGTCTTTGAAGCGACGGAACCAATCACGGCAAGTTGTTTCACTTAGAGCAGTATCTCCGTAAACTTTTTGGAGTTCTCGATGCGCTTCAGCCGCCGTTTTCTTCGAATGAAAGAAGAAAAGCAACACTTCCCGCAAATGATGATTATTTGGCACAAAATCAGACATTTTCACACAACCAAAAGTATATGACGCAAAAACAAAATCACTAATGTGTCAAAGCGGTTTGTTTACCATATGTCTAAGCTTGGTTCATGACGTTTTGGTTATGTCAAATCGACCAGCACTTACTACTGGAGCCATCTCTTGAAAAACAGCGGGAACTTAGTTGCGCACCTAATATATATATATATACAGGGTGTCCGGAATGTGATCATTAATATTTTGTGTACTGGTAGAACTCGTTAAAACAATTAAAAAGGTCCTGTGCCATTTTACAATTTTTTCAATATTTATTCCGTAATTAATTAAAATGTGTAAACGAATGAGCGCACGAGAAAGCGAGAGGACGGGCTCTGTATATAAGAAGATGGCTTACCTCGTGCGGCGAGAGGCAACCGTAAGCGACAAGAGGCGTGCGCGCGCGACGAGGAGCGAGCGAGCGCGAACAGCGAGCGAGCGAACGCAAGCGACAAGAGGCGGTCGCCCAGCGCTCTCTACGCGCTCATTGGCTCACATGTTTCAATTAATAACTCGATAACTATTGCCAATTTGACATTATGGTACATGACTTTTCTTCTCGGCTACACCCAATCTACCAGTACACAAAATATTAATGATCACATTCCGGACACCCTGTATATGTTAGGTTTCTCAGTTGGCGCTACTGTTTTAATATATCACTTGTTTTGTACAGTAGAATAGTGTTGTAGATTTTAATTATAGTTATAAGTTTTACTTGTAAAAACTTACGTTATGTACACATATATACCTTAAAAAAAATAATATAGATTTAAAATTTTTTTAAATAACGCAATACGTGTTGCGCTTGTATTTGGCGCCTTTTTGCTTAAAAGGGTAAGTTTTATATAAGCTTTACTTGTAAAAACTTATGTTATGTACACATACATATCTTAAAAAAAATAATTTGAATTTGAAATTTCTAAAAATAACACAATACGTGTTGCGCTTGTACTTGGCGCCTTTTTTTACCTTTTTGTTTAAGAAGATAAGTTTTATAAATTTTACATGTAAAAGCTTATGTTACGTACATTTTTTGTCGGTAGGTTTTTCTTGAATAATAATAACCTTTAAAAAGATATTTTTTTATTGATTTTTCGATGGCTGGGTCCATCATATCGTCTGCTCAGCATCAGCTGACCGGAAATCAAATGACGGGCGACACAACATACCGTACTTAACAATATTCTCACATTATTATCTTTAGACATTCCCTCTTTCACTCGCCCTTTCATCCTCTCATCTCCTCTCCCCCTGTCACCTTCCCTTCCCTCTCTCTATCCCCTCCCTCCCTATCTCCCTCCCTCCCTCTTCTCTCTCTCTCTCTCTCTCTCTCTCTCTCTCTCATTTCCTACACTGGAATTTTCTCTTACACTGTATTCTAGCATATCTCTCGCTTACTCGCTCGCATTCGCTGCTGTCTGCTTCTTCAGCGCTCTCGTAGCGCCTCTGGTGTCGGAAAAACGAGATGCACGCATATCCCCACTCCTGTGCGTCCGACGTTTCTTACTTACTTTCTTACTGAATCGAAATTTTCCGTGATTCGGACTTTATCTTAAAATACTTCCACTTAGAGACAACGTACACAAAAATCATAAGAACATTTTGCTTCCTATTTTTTAAGGCCGAATCGATTGGGACTAAAAAAACCTCGCTCGGTTCAGCCATTGCTGAAATATGAATATCTCACCTCGTTTGAACTCGCAGTTTCGCGTAATAATATAAGCACGGTGTACTTCGTGCCGTTCGGGCGCAACTTCGTTGCGCTTGAACTAGACGCGAGGCACTACTGTGTCTCTTGATAAAAAAAGAAATCTAGTGTGTGAAAAATTTTGGAAAAAATATATATATTACATTTTTTTTTATAAAAATATTCAGTAAAATTTTCTCGCGCGTATGTTAATTCCTCGCGATCTCGCTTTCCTCGCGCGTCGACGACGCTCTAGCACACGTGACCACATTATAATCGCCTCTGATTCTTTGACTCATCTCCGTGTGTTACACGAAGTACAGCCGGTGACAAAGTCGCGCGCGCTGACAAACCATTTCCGCGACCAACCCGATCACGCGCCTACTGAAAGCGAACAAAGTCTCAGCAAACTCGGAGGAATCGCGACAAAGAGCGACATTTTTACCGTTTTCACGATTCGTCCATTTTCTGCGGAAAATATACGGGAGGTGGCGAGATCGAGACGTCGAGGAGCGTCGTGTGAGCACGTTTCTTCGCGGATACACTGAGAAGAATAGCGTCACTGTCACATATGGCGATAGTCGCGGTTGGATTTGTATTCAAGATCGCCTGAAATTCATCCTCGACTGTTGCGTGGGTCGGTTATGAAACATCCGAAGACTAAACAAAAAGTTCAACTACGAATATCGGTCATAGTGGAAGATTCATAATCTTCAGCAGAAGAATTGTTCCAACGAACGTTACTCCACAACATAATAACATATACATATGTGTAATTGTTACTATTGCTGTTTTGTTAGAGCAACCGTAATATATATAATTGATCCCGAGAATAACAATAATTCTTCGCGAGAACGACGAGATTTTTCTTTCCAGTCTATCTCACAAAATTTATCAGTCGATTATAATTCGCAAGACAAAGGTGGCGGGAGCCAGAGGCAGGATTAGGAGGAAAAGTAGGAGAAGAAGGAAAGAATCGAGGAAAGCGCACATGGACGACGATCGACGTAGCTGAAAGCAACGGACTTATCGCGGCTGCCGCAGGCGAAGCCGGAAAACGCGGCGGTGACGTGTCGCGGGAGGTGGATCATCGTCGTTTCCCGTTGTTCCGCGTACGCCGTTAGTCCGTTCCGCCGGTGAGAAGATCGGGCGTTTTCGACAGCGCATTCTCGCGTGAGTATACGAATAATAGCGAGAGAAGAGGAGAAGAAAGACACAAAATGCGAGAGGACGAGAAATCTCGTCTCAGCCGCTCGATCGCTCGACGCGCGGATAACACATGTCGCAGCAGCGTTTCTCTTATCGCGATCCGGTTGCGACTGGACGATTCTCAGGAGCCGGTGACACACAGGCTCGAACTGCGTCGATCAGTCGCATGAGTAGGTGGGAAAAACGATTGCGATTTACGTATTTAGACGTACGTGTCGGAAAAATATTACAAAATGACGCGAAAATGACAGAATGAAATTGCTTTCTAGTAGTGAAGTAGTGATATTAGAAAGTAAGATACATTTTGCAAATATCTTGTGTCACAAAGAATATTATAGAGGATGTTTCAGAAATAGGTGGCCAAACTTTAAGAGCATATTCTACTCACTGTAAGAATAAAAAAAGTCACATAAACATAGATCCTGAAACGTTTCTTTTCCAAGTTATAAACACTTTTCATTAAGTACATGACCCTTCAGAACACATGACGAAGCTCATGTGCGGATAGGATAGAATGAGTAAAATGAGTAAAAGATCGTTTATTCTCTTTGTCGAGAAACTACGTAAAATTTCGAGTTATTAGCGAAAAAAAATTGGCAAATTATCAATCTTTTTTGGTTAATAATTTTTGGTTAATAATAATTTTACGTGGTTGTTCGGCGAAGATGGTAGAGGATCTTTTTACTCATTTTGATTCCGTTCCATCCGCATACGAACTTTATCGTGTGTTGTAACGGATATTCTATATACAGTAAAATATATCATAATAGCATATTATGATGATAGTACAACTGTACTTTTCGAAGCTTATATTTTTAGACGCGTACGAGTAGGTGCAAACAAAATTCTGAGACACGTAAACGTATAAATCGAAACATAAGAAGCTTATACATACATACATACATACATACATATATATATACATATATACATACATACATACATACATATATATATACATATATACATACATACATACATATATATACATATGTATACATATATACGTACATACATACGTACATACGTACATATGTACATTGCGTATATACGTACATACATATATGCGTACATGCGTACATACGTACATGCGTACATACGTACATACGTACATGGTGTCCCATTTTAAATGAGCCAAGCAAAAATCTCGAAAAATATGAGACATTAAGAAACGTTTCAGACAAAAGTTGTATGGTTTCAAACGACTATATCATTTTGTTTACAGATGCCATTCTCGAGATATTCACTGATCATTACTTTTTCTAAATGGAAACCCCAATTCTTTATTACATCATCTCTTTTTATCAATTAATTTGAACAACTTTTGTCTCAGACATTTTTTTACTTGCCTAATATTTTTTGAGATGTTTAAGGAAAACTTGATAACCTTTTCATTATTTAACTTACGATATCTCGCTATTTATCGGAAGAAAAAGTGGTACTACACTTTTTTTACTCTATTTGGTCCCAAGAATATATTGTTACCTGCCTTTTGTTACTTTGTTGATTTAAAAATTTCCAAAGTCAATAAATTAACAAAAATTGGAGCACTATTTTAACAATATATTCTTGGGATCAAATGGAGTAAAAAGTCTAATATTATTTTTTTTTCCGACAAATAGTTAGCGAGATATCATAAATTAAATGTTGTAAAAGTTTTCCTTATATCAGTGATATTGTTCTTAATCTGTGTTATTTTACAGTAAAATGATCAAATACACATTGAACATTTGTTGGATATTGTTTTATCAATAGATTACAGAGATATGTTGGACGAATATGGCAAACCATATTCACTGAAACATTTTTTTATTTAGCTAATATTTTTTGAGATATTTAAGGAAAACTTGATAACTTGGTAACTTTTTAGTATTCAACTTACGATATTTCGCTATTTATCGGAAGAAAAAGTGGTACCAGACTTTTTTACGCTATTTGATCTCAAGAATATATTGTTACAATAGCGTCTTGACTTTCGTTACTTTGTTGATTTTGAAATTTCCAAAAGTCAATAATATAACAAAGATTAGGGCACTATTTTAACAATATATTCTGGAGACTAAATAGAGTAAAAAAGTCTAGTACCATTTTTCTTTCGACAAATAGCGAGATATTGTAAGTTAAATGTTGAAAAAGTTTACCTATGTAATTACAATACGTTATACACTATTCCAATATAATCAGATGTTTTAAAACTAGTATTTTTAGACATGTTGCTTATAGATGATTATTAAATACAACTTATAGATTATTATTTCTCAATATATATCATCAAGTTGCATATGTACGCAGGATATTTTTTGCAAAATTCCCGGTCTGAACTGTATTCGGTAACTCGGTGATTAGCAATCAATAGCTTCAAATAGCGACGAATTTCGAGCTAAGAACGCTCCGGCGAGCAGCTGTCGGTAGAATTAATGTCGAAAATCGACTCGCGACTCGTTCCGATGATCGACGAGATCCACAAACGGCCGGTTAAAACAGCACGCGCGGAAATGCGAGACGTAGAACGAGTTTCGCGAAGAGCGTGGTTACGTAAAACATCGGCTGCTGGTGTCCAAGTGCACCTAATCGTATATAGACTATTGGTCTGTCCTTTTTAGCTGTACTACTGAACTGGTGCAATAAGTTAAAGTGAGAAAAAATATAATTGTCTCATTCTAACTTATTGCACTAGTTCTGTAGTGTAGCTAAAAAGAACAGACCATATAATAAAGACCGAATTAATGACGTCAGTGGGAGATGCATGATTGCTGGAGGAATCTCCTGCTGTCAATCGGTCGATTCACGAGCTCGAGCACCGAGCACGAGGAGGCTAAGTGCGATGTATCGCCGCGCTTAGCTACTTAAAATATAGTGGGTAGGCACTGACGAGATAATTATAGATCACGCTAGAGGGGCTCCGCAGAGTGCGGCGTCCGTTTCTTTCGCCGTCTCCTTTCTTTTCTCGGGGAAACCGGAAGTGCACATTGCCATCGCGCCTCGTACCTTCTCATATCCCAACGCCAGGCTGCTTGCTCTTCTCTTTGCGACACGTATGCGTACGTTGCCTTTGTGTGTGTGTGTGTGTGTGTGTGTATGCGTGTGTGCGTACGTGTGCACCTACAGGATCAGCTGTGCGCAGTAGCAAGACGAGCACGTGATAGCTACTTGCATACCGTTGCACATGTGACATTTCTCCCGTGCGGCCCTTTCTCTCTTTCTCTCTTTCTCTCTCTTTCCCTCTTTCCATCTTCTCTCCCTATGTGCGCGATAATTGCGTTTTTTATCGAGATATCGGGTCAGGTCAGTCGGGATAATCGTGACATTATTGGTGGTATTATTCACGGCGATACCCATCTAATTTCCCATTGGAAATCCCTCTTTTCTCTCTTTCTGTCTGTCGCGAAGAAACGTACGAAGTGTAATTTTTCCTGTACTTTCTTTCTTCTTCTTTTTACAAAATCAACGCTATTATCTCGGTCTCTCGTTCTTCTTATCCTTATCTTTACGAGCGCGAAGGCATGTTTCTCTTGGTTACCCCGGCTTGCTGCAGGCGTCGAGATAAAGTCGCACCGGCCCTGCTCGCGACCTTGCGGTATGCGAGACGCAGTCTCTCTCTCTCTCTCTCTCTCTCTCTCTCTCTCTCTCTCTCTCTCTCTCTCTCTCTCACACACACACACACGCGCGCGCGCGCACACGCATACGCACACGCGCACGCACACGCACACACACACGCACACACGCACACGCATACGCACACGCACACGTACACACACCCACACACACACACACATGCGCGCGCGCGCGCACACACACACAACACACACACACACACACGCGTACACATATGGAAGCGAGCGGATGACATCATCTCGATGAAAGTGTACATAACTGAGCAATGCATCACACATTTTGCTTACCATCGCCGCCGTGTATCTCGAGGCTTGTGGCCGCGACTTTCGAGATTTATTTTTTTTTCTTACATGTGCCGTGCATGTTTCGTCCGGCCGAAGATGGTGCTGTTTTCCACGCGAGAAAAGCCACAGGAGAAAACCGCCTCAGAAAGCCCCTCCGTGGGAGACTACGTAATCCGACGGAAGTTTCTGACGTTTAACACGAAGGAAATCGATAAGCCGCTTACTAGACGGAAACATAGATCGTTACTAATAACAGCGAGCATACAGGACGCCCTAAAACTCGCGACCTGAAATACCGTGGCCGGAGGAAACTTCTTAGAGAACTGGCTTGACTGATTCTTGCGATCTTTTGTTGCAAAAACGGTAATTTGTCCACGGACACGTTGTCGGACTTCAGTAAATCACAAAGTGATTTATTTATCTCTACTGTTTTAGAATGAAAGGACATCCGAGGTTTCACGATTTGAAATACCTTGGTTGAAGAATTGTTTGCTAAATTAAATTTTAGCAAGTTTTCGCGACTTTTCGTTATAAAGTCAATTATCTTTTAATCCTTTTAACAGGTAAGCGCCGGTCAGAATATTCTCGACAAAATAATTGAAAATGTTTTGCCCTTTTAGATGACAAGATTCCGGCACATTTATTAATAGTTTATTTGCAGCGTATGTCAAAGCACAATCATTTTTCGCGAGGTATGATTGAAACGTATACTCCAAGTTGTTAACTTTCAAGTTACATATAGCAGACAATAAACACTCGCAGTTTAAAAAGTAACGCGTTTAAATAAATTAAAAAAATTAAATATACATTCACAGTTTATTGAATCGTGAAGATCAGATATTTCAGAGGGAAATAAAAGAATGTCCAAAAACCGGTGGTTCGGAATGCCATAGACGAACAACTACCTACAAAAAACTAGCTTAACAAGTTTACGTAATTTTTTGTAGCGGAAGTAATAATCCTTAGAATGCAGA